TGAGTCTGACTCTCGCGTCGCCGCCCTGCGGGTACGCTTTGAGGCCGTTTCGTTACCCGATTGGAGTCTCTGGTCCGAATACTCCGCCCGTCTGAGGCCTCTTGTGCAGTCAGCCGGTGTCGCCAAAAGTCCGGACACCGCCGAGGCCCGTGAACTGCGGAAAAAATTCGGCTGCATTCGGTAACAAGCTGTTGCAGCGGTGGTCAGCGCTGTAGCGGTGCCGCCGGCCAGGCGCCACCTACCCCACCTCACTCCACTCTCTTGACGGGCCAGGCAGTCCGCCCGCCGCAGGCCTCCACTCGGTGGGCTTGCCGGCGGTGCTCTAAGGTCACCTCGGCGACGCGGGCTCGGGCGGCCGGCGCGTACCTCTCCTGCAGGCGGGCGTGCAGCCCCGCGTAGCTGGTGCGCTGGCAGTCTGCTGCAGCAGCGCCGCCGCGGGGCCGTGGAGGGCACGGAGAAGTAAGGTCATATGGAAGATAGGTCTGCGCAACCGAGATGCATGCTGGGAGACCGGGCAAGCCGGCAGGCAGGCTGGCAGGCAGGTAGGCGGTCCTCCGCTGCAGCCGGCGACGGATTCGGGAGGGATTAGCTGCCCGGTCTCCCAGCATGCATCTCGGTTGCGCAGACCTATCTTCCATATGACCTTACGGAGAAGGCGACGTCTCCTTTCGGCGTCGGTCCAGCCGAACTCGAACTCCCGCGCCACGTCTTGAGCTCTATTTAGTGAAGCTCACGCCGTCGGAGGGAGCGACGGCGTGAGAGCGTGGATCAGGGCGGAGTGGGGTGCGTGTTTATACGTCCAAAAGTGAGGTTATGATCCCATAGCGGCAAAACTTTGAGTCGCAAAGGACTCTCTGCATGCTCTCTGTAGTTGTAGTCTACCATAAGGTTGCTGTGAGTAGTATTCTGACGTTCTAGCGTCAGGATATAACCTCACTTTTGCATCCCTCGGCCCTTGTTGCGTTCTGTCGCAACGGGGCACTGCCCGAACCCAAGTCCAAATTGTCCAGTAAGCAAGAACGCGCCGAGCAACCGCGCCGCGAGGCTGCCTGGCCGAGCGGAGCTCGCCAGTCGGCAAGCGCCAGCTGAGGGGCACAGAGCGGACCGGGGGAGGCCGGGACATAGCGGAACAGCGGGGAGTTGAACCAGGTAACCCAGGCCTCTTTATTCCACAACCTTCAAACCTAAAAGGTCCCCCAGTCCAGAACTACTGGTGTATTCCCCGCAAGCCCAAGCACTGTTCTCTAAGCCTGAGGGCGGTGCCTGGACTTGCACACCCTCCGCTGTACCGCCCTCGTGCCCGCGCCCTCGCGCTCTCGTGAAGCCGCGTTCTTATCTTAATAAAGCTTTGGAACTGCGCGCCAAACCTGAGGTCGGGGGCGGGCCGCGGTGCCGGGTTGCGGGACAGCATGGCCAGCTGGCGCAGGACGTCCTTCGCCTGCTCCTGGATGGCCGTCGGCGCCTCGCTCCACCGGTAGAAGATGCCTTCCGTGGAGCGGCCGGTCGCGCTAGTCGCAGAGCCCTGCTGGGAAAGGAAGCATCCCGGCCTCGTGCTGACCAGCGGCCCTCTTGTAGTCAGCAAGCTGGTGCCACCAGTAGAGCTGGGTTTGTTTCCTCAGTCCGAATTGACAACAATTGTCAGGGCCGAATTGAGTCGAACGCCTGCTCAGTTGAGGGGTTTATTGCCGATTGAGCCTGGTGAACAGGGTGCGTTTTTCTGACGGGGTTGCTAGGGCGGCGGGGTGGGGGTGGTGACAGGAATTGTTGGCCACTAGGCTGGATGTGCAGCAATGGGAGCCACTACAGTGTAGTTCCCCGCTCGTTTCGATACGAGACGCAGCGTGGCGCCCCCCTCCGCGCCAAGCCCCCTTCCACGCAATCCTCTTCCACAGCGCGAGGCAGCGAGCACCCCCACCCCGCTCCCTGGGCCCCGAGCCGCCACCTCCCCCGACCCGCCCGGCCCGGCCGCGTGCTCCGCCGGGCGCTGCAGCCGCCAGGATGGGGAGCGCTACGCCCGAGCGGCAGGCAACCCATCCGACTGCCGATACTCTGCCGAGCAGCGACCCAGCCACCGCGTCGGCAAGCGTTTCGCCTACGTCACGCCAGGCTTAGCGCAGCCGCCCCGGTCGAGCGTGGTGGCTCTCTCGCGCCTGTATGCCGAGCTCTATGAGTGCAAAAAAGACAGAGCATAGACCCCGCGCCGCGAAATCGCTCGACAGCTCGTCCCACGCCACCCCGACATACCCCGTGCAACCAGCGCCACGCACGCCAGGCGCTAGCGCTGCCGAAGCGTAGCGGAGGCTGCCGAACTCGCTCCCCGCAGGTGGGCGGCAGAGGGCGGCCTGATAACGCAAGGCCACCCACTATCTCTCGGGGAGCGGCACGCTGGCCCGAGCAAGGAGGTTGCGGTCCGAGTCGGGGTAGGGCCCCCGAAGGGGATAGGGCGTAAAGGGCGTTCAGCGGCGTGAAGTGCGTCAAGTGCACTTATGCACTTTGGCACTTTGGCAGTGTGGCAGTGGTGTGGGTGTGTTGGGTGATTTGAGAGAGAAAATGAAGTAAAAAAATGAAATGAAATGAAATGAAATGTGTGTGAAAAAAAAAGGAGTGGATTGATTCCGCCCAGGGTCGAACTGGGGACCTTCTGCGTGTAAAGCAGACGTGATGACCACTACACCACGGAACCTCCTGCTGATGGCGTGATGAGGGCACAAGATGCTGCTACTAAGAAGCAGTAAAGGTAGGAGCAGTCAGTGTGACGCGTCGGTGCAAGGAGCAGAGTGGCGCAGTGGAAGCGTGCTGGGCCCATAACCCAGAGGTCCGAGGATCGAAACCTTGCTCTGCTATAATTTTGGCGTGTCTGCACGATGGATGACGGACAGACATGACCTGACCCGACACCTGAGTGGAAAGTGAGGTGGCCGTTGCGGCGTGCCAGCAGCATGCTTGTCAGGATGGCCGAGCGGTCTAAGGCGCCAGACTCAAGGGGAACAAACGACCCTTGCCCGGCTTCAGTAACCGGGTGTGTGACAGAGTGTTCTGGTCTTCGAATGAAGGCGTGGGTTCGAATCCCACTTCTGACATCAATATTTTGACCCTGACCCCTTGACCTCTCTCTCTTTTTATTTCTCCATTGCACAGATGGCGAAAGACAAAAACGCGAGATGACGCAAAATAGTCGCATAGTTTTCACACTTTATACCCCTGGAGGGACTCGAACCCTCAATCCCCGGCTTAGGAGGCCGGTGCCTTATCCATTAGGCCACAGGGGCTTACGACGTACACCCCCCATGGACCGCATCATAGCATTCCATTTCGACGCACCCCGCCCCCGCGAGGTGCGCTCCATTTCTCATGGTTCGCGCGTCATCCACACTCGGAGACAGATGGCGTGCGTGCCCTCCTGCCGCCCGTCAAGCTCGCCCTCATAGTCAGCAGTACATCGCCGCCCAAGTAGACGGCGCGCCAGGCCCCACGCTTTAAGACTTATACTTCACAGGATCATTTCTGTAGTATGTCTTCCTTTCTCTCTACTCAACAGTAGAATAGAAACAAACCGCGATGATGAGGTATATGTCCTCTTCCCTGAGCGTGAGGCCGCTGCCGCCGCCGCTGTGTTCCGAGTCGTATGACCTGGGACCGCGCGCGCGCAGCATCGATGATCGTTCCCTTCGCCCTCGCGGCGACGGGGTGGGAAGTGGGCTGCCTGAGCGGTACCCCCTGGAAAGAAAAAAAAGATAAAACCCAAAAAAGTAATGCGACGAGAGCGGCCGAGGGTCGAACGCGGAGCCCCGACTCCAGAGTCCGGCGCGCTGACCGTTACACCAGGCGGCCGGCGAGGGATACACTGGCGCCC